TCATAACACTGGTGTCTAATATTGACTGGATTCTCCCCAAGTGCCAAGCACTGTGTTAATGGCTTTGTATACACTATTGTCAACCAGTTAATAATTGCTGGTCTCACAGTGCCAGAAGGTTAGTTACCAGAAATACAAAGAGTCTCTATTATGAAACATGTGTATTATGGTTGCTAGGCAAACGGAAAATGTGGTGCAAGTTCTAAAATGCTAGGAGAATGTCTACATCAGTGGATCTTCATGTGTGGGGATGCTGTGGTCGGCTTGCTTTATGTTCTGGGGAAATGGCGTCCCAATAAGTCTAGTCTGCGTTGTTTTCTTAGTGCAGGTGAGTGGAAAAGGCTGCTGCCTGGAGAAACTTTTTTTTTTGAGAACCCCTGAGGACAAATCTTGCCTTTTAATTGTATGGTTGAGAGAAGTCTTGGTTCTGAGTTGAGTCTTTGCCAGGCAGTGGCCTCTCTGTGCCGGAATAATTTGGATGCAGCCTCAAATAAAGCAATCAAAAAGAAAATTCCTCGGAAAGTCTCACTGGTATTTAATATTTTATTCATTCCCATGTTATTGTGCTTCGCCTGCGGTGAAACAGCCTCGAAACAGCCTCCTAGGAGTGAGGCATTAGGAGGCTGACAAGCGTTTTCCCATGAATTGCTACTACAATACAATGGCATTTTGTTTGCTGTTTTGTTTCCTTGTCTTCTAACATTCTTTCTGACTTTCAAGGAAAAAAAAAAGAAGAAGAAAAAGAAACCCTCTTATGAATGGCAAGAAAAGGAAAGAAAAGTTTCTTTTAAACTTTCAACCTTTTTCACTTGGTACTGGGTAGCATGTAAACATTTTTTTTCTCATGGTATATATGCTGGTAGTCTCTTCCCTCTTTTGTGCTTTAAATGACCTTTTTTCCCCCTTCTTTTACCACATAACATTGCCTTTCCATTATTGATTCAAAAAATCAGCAGGGGAAAAAAAATCAACCGTGTACACATATTAAGAAAGGAAAGTCAGGGGAAGATGGATCAACCATCCATCTATCCATGTGGCCATTTATCTATCAATCCATCTCCCTACCTACCCGCCTCTATTAAAATAAATAGCAGGCACTGTACACATTGCTGGTTGGCTCAAGTTGTGATCTGGACAAAAGGTCTGTTTGGGAAAAGGATGCTGAAGCTCTAATTCTATTTGTGCCGGTTGAAAATCAGGAGGGGTTTTTCTACACTTCACTTTTATTAGATTATTTCTTATAGATGGTTTCTTTTTTCCTCCCAGACGCGTGGTGGAGGCTGCTGAAGCAGTTGGTCTATAGTTGGAATAATTAAATTAACCATTTGGTACAACTTTTAGGGGAGAGCTCGCGTGTAGAAAGCACAACTCGAACAAAACAGGGCGCTGGGGCTGGGCTCTGGCCTGGCCCCACAGGCCTTTCATCTTTGGAGCAGAAGCAAGACCCCGGGCCACAAAAGACGGGCAAAGGGGACGACGGGCCAGGGATGGTGGGGGAGGGGGGTGGGGATGGGGAGAGGGACGGTGACACTGAACAAAATATACCTACAAGGCTCACAAAGAGGGGGGAGGGGGAAAATGAAGTCAAGCGCATTTGCTCATCCGACCGTGGTCCCATAGCCGAGGTCTGGTACAAAGGGAAAGAAGGCACCCGATCAGGCGAGGGCCTGGCACCAGGGGGGCGTCTGGAGAGAGACAAGGTCCGGCGCACCTTGGGAAGAGGGCTGGCGCCCAGGGATCTCTAGGAGGCGGGGGAATCAAGCCGGTGGGAACCCTGGAATTGATAAGGCGGGGAGAGGGAAACCAGGGGCGAGCGACTTGGTCTGCGGGGAAGCCGAAGTGGTGCCCCATACAAGGTTTCAGCCCT